AGGAGCATAATTGTTAGTTATTTGTGGTAATTATGGCAGTTTCTTAATGATCATGTGACAATACAATTTCTAACAATCTTCTGTCCATATCTCTTTGATTTTATGGAATTAGGAATTTTTCTGATGAGTGTTCCATAGATGATTTGGATTTATTAAAAGTATTAGGGGTGAAGTTTGTACTTTCCTGAACTTGAATTTTAAACACTAATAGTATCCTATGAGAGATGTGTGTGTTCGGGGAGGGTGGGATCCTGCCTGGCATCACATAGTGCATGAAGTGGCTGGTTTGGAGCTCATAGCAATAATGCTGTGCTGTGGGGGTCTGCACCCTTCCCAGCTGTGCTGTGGGGGTCTGCACCCTTCCCAGTTGTGCATGTCAAATCTCTCTTCCCTTTGCATCAGTCACTGTCAATTGTAGCGACTTGAGTGTGGAGTGAGATGTTCACCTTTAGCCTTCTATATTGTTATACTGGCTGTACTTGGGAGTACCCGGGGGTCGGGCTCACTCCCTTGGGGAGACCCTTCTGGGGACTCAAGCATTTTGCTGGTCTTTCTTCTTTCTTTACCCTCTAAATGGAAACTGAAGGTGGCTCCCTCTGTCAGGTGGCTGCAAAGCTGTGGACCTGACCTCCCAGTGGGTGCTGCCCCCCTACCTGCCTGCCTGCCTGTCACCTGCAGATAACTGCTGCTTCTGCAGCCTGCTTCTTACAGAGAAACATGCACTTCCCTTGCTGTGCTCTCCCTTCTGGTCAGTTTCATTTTAGGGACTGCAGCTCACTTGCTGTCGCAGACACTTAACTCACTGTGAGGATCAGTATGCATGCTTTTTGTAATTAACTGGTGCTTTGAAACCTTTTTTAAGGAGGACAAATCTCAACCAAAGTTATGCTCATCCCGACAAGCTGACCCTTGAGTTAATTTAGCACAACCCATACTTCAGTGCCTCGTTAGGAAAAGGAAAGAAAACCAGAAGGTCTTACAGTAAGGCCGGCAGGGCGCCCTGTTCGCTCTAGAGACATCCCCTTGTTTTCCAGCAGTGGTGGTTCCCTCGGAAGATTAAACAAACTAGGTGCTTGTATATCATTTATTACAGTTTACTCTACTGCATTTCTGTCAAACTGAAATGCATGCCCTTCAGGGGAAGACTGTGAGTCAATTTAAAATAAATAACTAAAACCTAATACTAAGCAATATGAAGCTGCACTCTTTTTAAATGAGGCTAACCCAAGTAATTCAGAGAGGGGAGGGATGTTTGCTTTTCTAATCCTAAGGACAGTGAAAGCAAAGACAAGTGTTAAGGTGAGTGCAACCAGGAATGCGCTGCACCCTTCTTGGCTCTATTAAATCTTGGAAGTCATGAGGGTGAGTACAGAAGATATGTCTGGGATGGCAGTGAATGGAAGCTTCCTCGTTCCCATAGTGTTTATGTCACGTGAGAGCTCTGACATGTGTGTCTGGGTTCTGGGGAGACGTGGGAAATCTACAGTTCACTTTAGTGCTGAAAGGCAGTACACAAGCCTGCGGAACCTAGAATTTCCCAAACTGTTTTGACCTCAGGACCTTTCTCCCCTCTGGGACACCTCGCTGCATGCCATGGAAAACATTTTGGGAAACTACATTAATTAGTTCTTTAAGCAGACCAAATGGTCACAAACAGTGGCACTGAGGCAGAATTTGCATGCTTTTGTATCGTCCATGATGCACTGAGTGGACGTTATTTTTCCTCATTGGAAAGAGTAAGCACAGAACATTGGCTGGAGCGCTTTCCTTTGATGGAAATCAGCTACCCACGGCCCTGACCTTTTAGAACTGAAAGTAGCAGAATTAATACAAGGATTAATTGGGGTAAACAATAAAGGTTTTAATTCAGATCTAGAAGAAAACACTGCACAATTGAATGCAGATTTTTATCCATAGATAATTATAGTGTTTTGAAATGATTGACCCTATCTTTAAGGTTTATAAGACTTACTATGGGATGTAAATCTGTTTTTTAAAAATACTTTTTAGGAGCCTGAGAGTTGCCGTCTGGCATTTACTTTAGTACAACCAATGACTGCTTCTAGAGACTCTTGACCTTACCTCCCAACAGCTGAAGGGCTAACTGTCTCTATACCAGGTGTTTGTTACAGTATTTGCCCATTGTACAAAGTACACTAGATTGTTGTAAAAAGGACTACTACTGTAGAATAGCACTGTATGATTTTTGTGAGGGACACTGCTGTGGAAATGCTCACTGATTTTTATGCCTGATGATGGTATATCCTGAGAAGCATGGAAATGGAATTCTGTTTTAATAAACCAGAAAAAAAAACCCAGTCTGTTGTGGAATATTGTTTTAACTGTGTAAAGGTGTGTTACATTTGTTTCTGCTGCCTTTGTTAACAATGTAAAGATGTGTTACATTTGTTTGATGAAATAAAATGAACCTGGGGTCAGGAGGCTGAGTCAGCAACTAGCTGACAGGAAGTGGTAGGGAGGAACTAAGGGTAGCGAGGGTTCTTAAGTGGGGGCTGAGCAGAAGAATGACCCCCTTGTTTGGGAGATGTGAGCAAGGAGAGAAGGTCAGCTATTTACTGTTCAGCCTGTCTGAGCTAGCAGGATTTCACCTCAACCTTTGAGTCCTGAGTTCTGTACTTCTATAGAGATTTAGGTAAAGTTTCCTTTAGAGGCTGTGGGAGCCAGTGCTTGAGGGAACAGGATTCCCACCTGGCCGCTGCCGCCGCTGCCACTAGCTGTGGAGTGAGTGTAATTGCTGGTTGGGACAGCAGCTGCTTAAGGTACAGCAGCCACTGTACTGAATGAAACACCACCAACAACCACCACCAAAAAACCCCAACTCATTTTTAATGTCTTGGATTCGCTGTTATGAGTTTCATGTTATCCATTGTGTCATGCTTGTTAGACTTCAGATAGAGCTTTATTCAAATGCTTAGTTTGTGACCCGAGATCAACTTGTGAGTCTCTCAGGCCTGACTTTATTGGCTCACAGCCTTTCAACCTGGATGAAGCCCTTGGAGATGGGGATGCCTACTCACATCCCAGAGATGCTCTTGTGTTGCAGTGGACCCTGTTAGTGCGCTTTCTATCACCTACCTTTCATAATATTCAGTTACCAAAAGTACAGTGAAGTCCTACCTTTCTCCCCTAGTTTATAAGGGTTGCTCAAAAATATTAGCTGGCTTTTTTGTTTTTAAAGAATAAGGGATTTCTTTTATGAGAGCATGGATATTTCGTAGTTCCTTTAAGTGCACCCAGATGTAGCTGCCCAGGACTGTATCTGGAGATGGTGGCAGACAGGTGCATGGCAATGGTGGACCTCCCTTTTGAGTGCCCGACATGGCTTCCAACTCTGGAGTTAGAAGTTTTTTTTAGCATCTGTAGTCACCTTCCAGCCTCATGTTTGTTCCTGCATGGACGTTCTCTTCCACAGGAGGTGTGGAGTTGACTTAATTTGTGAAAGTATGCCTAAAATGGACACTGGAGCACACCCATTGCGGTTAGGGTGGAATTCAATTTTTTTATTTCCAACATCTTTGCATTTGGGTGTCTCTCTATATAAATGTATTTTGCTTTTCTTATCTGCTCACTCAGGAGGGTCACCTTCAGTGATGGGTTTCTAGTTGCTGTTTTAATAATAATAAAATCTCAGCACCCAGAAGTTAATTTTACAGGACGCTGAGGCTGAAAATAATAGAAAGGTCATTTTGGGGGAAAGTGAAATCAGTCAGTGGGTAACAGTGTGTCCTGTGTAGTTTTTGTTGTCAACTTGATGCAGCCTGGGAAGAGGGAACCTCCACTGAAGAAGTGCCTTTATCAGATTAGCCTGTGACTGTGGCTGAGGAATTGTCTTGAGTGATGATTGATGGGGAGAGGACCAGCCCAACGTGGTTGGCACCTGTGTAGATGGTTCTGGGCTGTATAGGAAAGCCAGCAGTTCATAGATGAGGTGGATGTTGGGGTGGAGCCTGGGCCTGGGCATCAGCTGGACTGGTCAGCCTGCCCGCCTTCCCCCATTGTCTCTCCAACCCCCTGCCTCACATGCTCTACCTTGGCTAGTCCCTCCAGTGAGCCTGTTCCCCGCTCTCAGGCCCTCCGGTCCGGCTCAGCTCATTCACACTCATGCTCGCTCACACTCACACCACCAGGGCCAGCCCAGCTGTATTGCCCAGGTGAGGTGCGGGGCTCTCTGCCAATTGCTGTAGGGGGCATATGAGGTGTGTGTGTGTGTGTGTGTGTGTGTGTGTGTGTGTGTGTGTGTGTGTGTGTGTGTGTATGTGTTGGAGTCAGATTTCCTGTTTTTACACTCTCAGGGCTGCCTCATCTGTGCCTCTGACAACAGGGTTCACTCTAGTGTGGTGCCCTGGTGGGTTGCAGGGTCTGCTCTCCTGTGTGCTGCAGCTGGTGAGGGTCAGGGCTAGTTCCCCAACTCTCTTGATCCTGGGGCCTACTCCCACCTGCCACAGGTAGCAAGGGGTGGGATGAGGGCATCTTCCCCTCACGCATGCATGGCAGATGAAGGAGGGTGGGTGGGAAGGGGAAGACCCTCTTTTTGTTTTTTAATTAAAAAAAAATTCCTTTCCTTTTACATACCAATCCCTGTCCCCCCCCCCCCTCCTCCCGCTCCCCCCCTACCCCCATCCCACTCCCATCCCCTCCTCATGGAGAGTAAGGCCTCCTTTGGGTAGTCAACACAGGCTGTTATATCATGTTGAGGCTGGATCCAGCCCCTCCCTCCTGCATCAAGACTGAGTAAGGCATAGCACCAGAGGGAATGGGCTCTAAAAAGCCAGTTCGTGTACCTGGGGATAAGTCCTGGTCCCATTGTCAGGGGACCCACAAACACATCAAGCCACACAACTTTCACCCACATTCAGAGGGCCTGGTACGGTCCCATGCAAGATCTCCAGCAGTCAGTCCAGAGTCCATGAACTCCCATTAGCTTGGGTCAGTTGTCTCTGTGGTTTTTCCCATCATGATCCTGACCTCTCTCCCGCCCCCCCCCCCCCCCCCCCCCCCCTTGCTCTTATAACCTTCCTCTGTTCAACTGAACTCCTGGAGCTCAGCCCAATGCTTGGCTGTGGGTCTCTGCATCTGCTTCCATCAGTCACTGGATGTAAGTTCTATGACAGTTAGGGTAGTCACCAATCTGAGTGCAGGGCAAGACTAGTTCAAGCATCCTCTCTCTAGCAGGCCACAAGAATATATTATAGAGATTCAGCTGTATATTTGAGCTATACCTAGAAAATTCAAGGCATTTTTCTAGAGGAAGCCATTTATCAAAGGGATATTTGGTGTTATTCAGTTTTTAATATTTCAGTTGTCTTCTGCTATGAAATTCTTGTACGTCCATATACTACCAGGCCATGGCAAAGACACTGATCCACTAGGTAACTAACCCCTCCTCCCCAACAGAGCCTAGGAGACAGGCAGGTTATAGATGCATAGCTTTGTTTCTTGTGCAAATGAAGCTCAGACCATCCCTTGCCTTCAGGCCTAGTGGCATTCCAGAGCAATGGACTCAGGACAATAGGGCTTTTTGCATAACCAGGTACAGTAAGGACTGGAGTGGAATTCCAGAGGTAGGCAGAGAGGAGAGAAAGAACAAGGCAGTTTTCTGTAGATGGTAGACAGAACTTCATGGCCAGAGAGAAGAGAGAGAGGCAGAGATTCTGTAGATGGTTAGGAAGGTCTCTTGTAGAGTTTTCTCAGAGCCAGGAGTAAGGAGCTAGGAAGGAAAGACGGAGGATGAAGGAACAGGGGACGAAGATGAGATCAAGAGTGTAAGGGCTTAGTTATTACTAGGCTGTGAGGGGACAGAAAAAGGAGGTACAGAGAGGAACTGAGAGTCAGGACGGAATTGAAGCTCTATAGATAGAATTTTGTCTTAGAGAAATAAAGTAATGGATGAAAGAACGTCGTGTACACCTCAGATTCTTTTCCTTCAGGTAACCCCACTCCAGATGTAGCCTCTGCCCCAGGACTTTGGGAAGAATCTTCTTAGGGCAGGCCCTTGGGAAAATTCTGTCACCTCTCCACCATTGCTAGGAGTCTTAGCTGGGGACAGTCTTGTGAGTTCCTGGGGTTTTCCCTAGCTGCAGATTTCTCCCCATCCCCTTAACGGTACACTCTGTCAAGATATCTCCTTCATTGCTCGCCCTCCCTGTCTCTCCTCCATATCAGCCATTTCAAGCCCTCATGTTCCCACTTCCTATACCCTTCCCTCTATTCCCCCCTCCCAGTTTACCCAGGAGATCTTAACCCTTTCCTCTTCCTGGGGTGACCCATGTGTGCCCCTCTTAGTGTCCTCTTTACCTAGCTTCTCTGGGGTTGTGGATTGTAGCCTGGCTATCCTTTGCTTTGCGTAATACTCCATGGTGTAAATGGACCACATTTTCTTTATCCATTCTTCGGCTGAACCTCCGTCTCATCTATGAACTGTTGGAGCATGGGAAGGCAACAAACCTGTAGATCCAAAACTGCAGGATCTCCACAGCACAGGACGACGGAGGGGAAGCCCTGTGAGAACCCAGTGTTGATGGTGACAGAGGACGGAGGCCAGGCCAACGACTGTTGGCAATGAGCACAAATGAAGGTGAACTAAAGGGAACTGTGTGGGACTCACTGGGCCACACCACAGCTTCCACAGCAAGATTCTCTCCCTTCCTCCCTTCCTCCCTTCCTTCCTTCCTTCCTTCCTTCCTTCCTCCCTCCCTCCCTCCCTCCCTCCTCTTCCTCCCTCCCTTCCTTCCTTCCTTCCTTTCTTATTCTGTTTTGTTTTGCTTTCTTTGGTTTGGTTTTTGATTTTTGGTTTTTCCTTTAAATTTCGTTTTGCGTTGTGGGGAGGTTGCAAGAGTGGGGGGTGGATGCAGGGGTGAGGTGGGGAGATGGACTCAATTGGGATGCATGATGTGAAAACCACAAAGAATCAATAAAAGTTAATAAAATATAAAAAAATTTTTTAAAAAGCTAGCAAAAAAGGCAGTGAGAGAGCAGGCGAGCAGCCTTCATCTATGGTCTCCACCATCAGTTCCTGCCCGGACTTTCCTCAGCGATGGACGGTGACCCGGAAGTGTAAGCCGAAATCAATCCTTTCTTCCCCAGGTTGCTCTTGGTCAGAGTGCTCTGCCGTAACGACAGAATCAAACTAGGATGGGGTGCTTGCTGTGTCCTCACGGGGTCTGAGCTGGGATCTCAGCGCTGATGGAAAAAGCCAGGCCTGGCTGCGAATGCTCGTGACCCCAGTGCTGCAGAGGGTGGAGACAGGAAGATCGCTGGGGCTTGCTGCCTTCCAGCCTAGCTCCAGGTTCAGTGAAGACCCCATCTCAAGGGAATAAGGTGGACAGAGCAGGCCACCCACGGCCCTGCCTGGTCTCTCCCTGCGCTCGTCAGCACACTTGCACATATACCACACCTGTGCACCATATGCACAGACATACAAAGCGGGGCGTGTCTGGATCTCACGGCTCTGAGGAGTTAGAACATGGTGGACACTGACCGTGGGGTCTCTACAGCCAAGCAAGTGCCACAGACGGGGTGCCACCTACATGATGTGTTCCAGAGTGCTGTCAAGAATTACAAAGTAGGACTGAATGCTTTGCTCCTAAGGTGATTGCCTGGCAAGGTCTTTGTAATATGAACTTCAACAAGTATGCAAATTAGAGTTAGTTAATTGCTTACGTGACTTTGGGCACATGCTTGAATTCACCCTTTTATAAATTGGGGCTAATAAAAGCAACTGCCAGATGAGTTTTTTGAAGTGTCCCGGAAGTATCATTTATTCTCAGCTTGAAGATGGGCTTCTTTTATTGTACTGGGTTTTCCCGAGGCAGGGTTTCTCAGTGGACTCAGACCTGTTTCTGCCTGGCTGCCGTGACAGTCACCTGTGGGAGCTCCTGTACCCACCTCTTCCTGAATCTGTAGACGCCATTCCTAGACTCTGCCCAAAGTGCTGGTGAGCCAGCATCTCATGTATGACCTTCAGTTTATAAGGTGGGACCGACCGCAGCCTCTGCCTCTGGCTTCTTTGTCTCTCAGAACATTCTGAGGGTCCCGGTGCTGGCAGGCTTCTGTTGCCAGTGACCCACTCAGCACGCCGTTCTCATTTTCCCTGTCTCCTTTGGTCAGTCCCTTTCTGCTCCTCCTCCCTGGCCTCAGCACACACATAGATGACTTGGTGCTGAACTCTTGTCTCTTGGCTGGTTCTAGAAAACCAAGCCAAGACAGTCTTCTTTACTCTTCCTTAGACAATGCTGAGCTGTGAACTCATGTCAAGAGTTAGCATTTCCAAAGACTAAAATTGGACGGTTAAACATATTTTATGTGTATGTACCTGCGTGTGAGTGTATTACTGCACCATGTCTGCAGGTAAGAACAGGGTGTTGGATCCCCTGGAACTGGAGTCACAGACAGATGTGAGCCACTGTGTTGGTGCTGGGAAATGAATCTGGGTCCCTAGATCAGCCAGGGATCCTAAACACTGAGCCTTCTCTCCAGCATTTTATGAGCACTATGAAAGCCCCGTGAGAGGTAGTGACGGGGAAGGTTCCTCTGTTGTTTCTTTGAGAAAGGTCTACCCACAGTGGTTGGGGATGTCAAAATTTGGGAGTTAAGTGTCCAGGAAGTGCCAGTACTCTCCAGAGCCAAGCTTCAGAGTGAGGAGAGCATGCAGGTGTCACCACACAAGTGTCCTGCCCTGACTCTGGAGCAGCACTGTATCCCCCAGGGGACAAGGACCACACCCAAGAAAAATTCCTAAGGACACTGCATTTTGATGGGGTGGTTCCAGAGCCCGCCAAGGCTGCTGTGGAGATGGGGCATGACTGTGGGGTTCTCATCCAACAGACACCCTTTCACTGGGTCTTGAAGGAAGGGGAAGGACAGATAGTTTAGATGGGAACCTTTCAGAATTTCGCCTGCTAATTCAATTTGACAAACTATTAAGTGGTCATATACAGGATCTGTATGTTGTCACCCCATCCGCTCTGGTGACTTGGAGGCTCCAGGCTGATCTGCTTGCACTTGACTTTTGAAGCAAGTGGAATATATTTTCTAAGACGTTGGAAGTCCGTGTGGTCCCCCCCGCCCCCCAATGGCCGTGGTTTAAGTTGTTAGATCCACACTCCTGCCTGGAGTAGCGGACTGATGGGGAACAGAGATGTGTATCTTTCTATTTCTGCATTTGCCCATGCCCTGTGCCAAGGGTCCATTTGATCCCTGGGACTGTGCAGTTTTGTTTCTAAAGTGGACAGAAGTGTCTCTGAATGCACACATCTTTAAAATGGAGGACAGAGGGCCAGTTGAATCTGCAGATGGAGCAATTTGATTTTTCTGAACACAAACTGACAGCCAATCACCGAGCTGCCAGCTGTGCGGGCAGGACCAGCCACTTCCCACTCGACAGATGAAGTGGAGCGAAATTCTTCAACACAAATTCTTTAGCTTCTCTGGGGACATTGGCAACTAGGAGGCCGAACCTCAGATTTCTTCGGCCTTGGCCTTCTTTGTGGATATTTGGAGTTCAGGACTCTAGTGTGGTTAAATCTCATCTGGGGTGAGGGAGGGAGAGGGGGTAGAATGGAGGAGCACTAGGAAATAAAAAGTTATTATTTCATCCAAAATGTGAAGCCCCATGCCAGAACCCAGCCCAGCCCAAAGGGGCTGCAGCTGTGGCTGTGTGTGTATGTGTGGTAGGTAGGTAATCCGGACATCACCACTGCATGTGATGAACCGTCAATCTTACCTTTGGGACCTCAGGGAGAAGAAAAGATGACCACTGCATAGAAGGTCATGGGTGAGTGCTTTCTAAAAATTGCTTTCTTTTGGCATGGAGTCTAAATTGCCAACACAAAATTTTGAACCCGTGGAAATTGGTGCCAGTATCTGGAGACTTCCTCCTGTCCACAGCAGCTTCAGGTGTAACTGTCTTTGCATGATGTTGTGCCCAAAGCTTTGCTACCTGGTAGCAGACCCTGGTCAAGGCTGCCTGGGTTCACGTCCCAGCCCCACACAGGTCTTGAGCCTGTCTTCTGATGACCTGCTTTCACCTAACAGGTGACAACCTGAAAAAGCAAACACACTGGAAAGCGCTCTGCCCCAGCGTGGCTTATTACGATGGATGGCTAAATGTTAGCTCAGCTCAGGGCGCTGTCTCTTCAGATAATCCGGCAAACTCGTTTGTCTTCTGCCCGCCCACTCCTTGGCCAGCGTTTGACAGACACTGACTAGCCTCTGCATAAACAGGCTTTGGGATTCCCCAACCTCATTCTGTCTTAAAGTCATACATTGATTTTCATTTCCTTCAGTCGGGCCCACCTGTACCAGGATGCTGGGTGTGGCCCTGCCGCACTTTTCGGATCTGCCCACTAGGTGGCGATAGAACTTCATCAAGGGGTTCTTAGCCCCAGGCCTAGGTAGGTTTAAAAAAGCATGGCCGAGGCCGCCCAGACAGCTAGGGTGGGTGCGCCTACGAATACTTCTTAGCAGAGTTGCTTGTCACAGGCTGCCAGAGTTAGACCCCAGGAGGGCTTCCTGAAATGAAGGCAGGACAGGGAAAGCTAGAGACCCGGCCTGGGCATGGGGCGGGGCAGAGGGCGTGGCTCGGGCTGCTCGACGTCCACCGGAAGCAGGAGGCCTCTGTGGCGGCGGGACATCTGCTGTCCAGGCACCCTTAGGAATGAATGCCTGCAAAGGCTGCGGAAGGTGAGGGGTGGGCGCAGGTCTTTGCTTTTCTCCCCAGCTTTCCATTCATTGGTGCCAGGGGGGCTCCAAAAGCCCTATCACTGAGCTCAGGCTCCGTCTTACTCCCCACTCTGGTCTACCTTTGTTTTTACCCGAAAGTAGGGTGCAAATAATTTCCAAAGTCCATGATGAGGACGCAAGTGCCTCCGGCCACCTGGAAACGCCCCTTTGGTGCCTAAGCCATGGTGTGGGATCGGGGCTCAGGCCAGGCTTTGCCCGCTGAAACCGACTTTCTCCAGATGGGACTCCCATGTTAATCTCCTTTATCCATCCACGGTGTGAATTTTACGTGGGAGCAAAAGAGCACGCAGGGAAGGGGCTGTAGGGAGGAAGTAAGTTTGGATATGGTCTGTGTGAAAACGGGGCACCGCTGAGGGGCAGCGAGGGAAGGGAACCGCGGCTGGAGAGGAGTGTAAAGCGACCCACAGCTTTGTTCTTGGTTGCCCCTTTCTGTCTGCGTCCTCTCCGCGGACGGAAGAGCCATGGAGACCGTGGGCGTTCTGTCCACTAGAGGGCGCAGGCGTCCTTCAGTTTAGCCTGGGGTTGGAGCCGGCTTGGAAGTGTGCGAGGTTTGGGGAGCAGTCTCAGGGACCTCTAAACACTGCCATCAGCAGACTGTTTTCTCGCACCCCCTTAAGCTCCTTAACAGTTAAAGCTTAACTTAACCCCTGTCCTGCTCAAGTGTGTCTGTTGTTTCCGTGGGCATCTTATGCCCAGATCTGGTCCCACTTTGCCAGAGTGAATTCTGGGATGGGTATCTCGTGGCCTGGGCCTGGGGACTTGGGCTGCTGTGGGAACACCTTAGGGACTCAGTCAGCCCTCACAGGCATAGCTGAGTTGGCTTTCCTAGGAGCCTGCTCCTCACTATGGCCTTTTCTCCCGAGGACGAGCTTCCTGGACACGATAAGGCATGGAGGTCAGAAGACAAGTTGCTGAGTCTGTTCTCTTTCCTTGTGGGACCCAGGGATGGAACTCGGGTCGCAGGCTTGGCAGCCAGCGACTTTACCAGCAGAGCCATGGTGTGCTCATTCTTCTGTATCCCCTCCAGGCCCAGCTTGATCCATCGCTCGGAGCTCATCACCTCTCCTAGGCCCGGGTGTTCTGGAAGCAGGCTATGAACAGATGATGACGGCTCCCCCAGCTTCCCGAACCCTTCCCTTCAGCTAAGCTGTTCCAGGCCAGGGAACTAGACCCTTACTCTGTTGCAGCATGACCTTCAGCTGGCCTCTGCCAAGCTCTTTGGGGAACCAGGGACACCGGCCACCAGCACTGTGGGCCCCTGCTCGGAGGCTATTCAGCCACAGCCTTACTGGCCTTTCCACTGGGTCCTTGGAAATGATGACAGTGGCGGGTAGAGGTGTTGTGCACCGGAGAGGCTGAGTCTGGTGGGACTCCAAGACTGACTCCACACAGGCTGTCCTGGACTCAGGTCTGTGCCATGGTCTTGTGTCTCTGGCCCGCCGGCAGACCTGCTTGTCAAGCCACACCTGCCAGGCTGGATTTTCTTCTTCAGCAGATGACTCTTTTGTCTCCTGCAGTCAGGCACTCTGCTTCCTCACAGTAACCCTCACTCCCTAGCAACCCCTTATTGGGTTGGTTGTGTAGTGGGTTTGTCTGAAATGTCAACACACTTGTTTTGTAATGATATTGGGGGATGCTTTCCTCTACAAGGACCTTAGTATTAAAACTCGCCCGGGACCTGAAGTCTGTGCAGAGCCGTCATGGGACTCCAGGGACTAAGCACCAGGCTAGAGGGTTGGCGAGCTGGCACCTCTGAAGCTGAGGGCCACTGGGGACGCCTAGGGAGCTGCTCTGTGTGGGGGGACTTGGGCAGTTCCCACCAGGAAGCTCCCTGCTCTTCCCGAGGCACAACAACAGAAGGCCATGCTTGAAGCCAGCAGGCAGGAGGCAGTCTGCTGGTGTGACTTATGAGAGATGAGGCTCAGAGAGGTTCAGATTCCTGCCCAGAGCCACACAGCAAGGAAGAGAAGTCAGACTTTTTTTTTTTAATCATAACTTGCAAAATTCTGTCTGCAAATAGTATCCTAAGGGCTAGGAGTACAGTGTTCATGTAACTAGTCAGTCCAACGATATTGCTGGACACTTAATGCAGGCTAGAGGCACAGGACAGAGCTCAAGGGGATGGCCAGGCCATGTGACATCCATGCAGAGTGTCAGGGTGACCCAAAGGAGAGGCCTACATCCTGGGCAGAAGTCAGCACCATGATGATGCCCTTATTAGCTACTTGTCCTGGGAAGCAGCACTCCTCGCTTTTGAGACAGAGATTTAGAGAGACTCTGAATGTTCCGATCTGGAAGTCTTCTTGGGCAGAGGCCTTTTAACCTCTTCCTTTAAAATAAAAAAATCCCTGTTCATCATGGGACATTCCAAACACGAATCAGTGTGGTAAGAGCAGGGTCTTCTTGCCGGGTCCCACATTCCAGTCACGGGCTCCGCTATTGCCAGCCCAGGGCCGACTTCCTCCCAGCTTTGCCCCTCTCTCTTTTGCCCCTGGACTGTTTCCAAGCAGATCGCTCACATCCTGTCATTTCATCCATAAATATTTCAGCACACAGCTGAGGATAATGCGGCACTGTAAGAAAAAATCAGAATCCAATGATCACACATAGAACAGCAGCGTTAATTCCAGCCAGTATTCAATTACCTTTTCCTCTTTTTGAGATTTATTATTTTTTATGTGGTGTATTACCTGCCTGTATGCCCGTGTGAGGGTGCCAGATCCCCTCAGCTGTGAACTGCCGTGTGGGTGCTGGGAATTAAACCCAGGTCCTCGGGAAGAGCAGCTAGTGCTCTCAACCAATGACCCATCTCTCCAACACTCTCCTCCTCCTCCTCCTCCTCCTCCTCCTCCTCCTCCTCTTCCTCCTCCTCCTTCCCCTCCTCCTCCTTGGTCCAAGCTGGGATCGAAACAAGCGTCACATGTAGTACTGTATTCTCTCCCTCTTTTTTCCCCTTGTAATAATTTGTTCAGGAAACCTGGTTGAGTCCTGGGCAGCTTTCCATACCTAGTACTTGCTTTATGTGTCCTGGGGTCCTGTCTAGCAGCTCCCTGGGCCCTGTGTTTTCTGGTGTGTGTGACTCTGGAGGCTTGAACGATTCAGGTTTGAGGTTTTGGAGTGTGGTATCTGGAAAGCACAAGTCAAGGGTAGCTTGCTGAGTGCCATGTGCGTTCATGTGTGTGTACATATACTTGTGTCTGTGGGTGGTTCTCCCCACCTTTAGTTACTTCCAGAAGCCTTTGTTCTGGCGTCCACAGGCTCTTCTTCTAGGCTTCTTGTCAGGCAGGCAAGGAGTAAGTCAATCGTGTCCCCTGAAGCTCCTGGAAAATCTCAGGGAAAAGGAAGGTGGGGCCTCAATCAGCAGGGTCTACGCCCTCCCCTGCGTAGACAAAATGGAGCATCCCAGCCTTGAATTCTATTTGGATGTGACAGGCAGAGCGAAGGAGGTTAGGCTTAAAAGCAATCACAAAAGAGTATGAAGTTCAAAACTGTCGCAAAAGTTTAGAATGGAAATGCAGAGTTAGGAATGGCCAAGGAAGGAGCATGCTGGTTTATCTCCACTATTGACTCCACTGGATTGAGAATTACCTAGGAGGCATATTGTTAGGGTGCTTCCCGAGAGATTCAACTGAGAAAGGAAGACCTACTCTGAATGTGGGTGCCACCACCCCATGAACTGTGATCCTAAAATGTGGAAAAAGAAAAAAAAAAAAAGAGCAAACTGAGGACTAGCATTCATCTCTCTCATCTTCCTGAGTAAGGACACAATGTAACCAGCTACTCATACTCCATACCTTCCCCCAGCAATGGACCACAGTCCTCTAGACTGAGCCAGAACAAATCCTTCCTTCATTAAGGTCTGGTCAGGTCACACACTGAGAGTAGAGGGGGAGAGAGAGAGGACATTAGTTCCAAACTGCCACACAACCACTATAGTCCAGCTGGTGGGTACCAGAGGGGAAAATGATGACCTATATATCATGTCTGTTGACAAGACAGATGGCAACCAGGAGAAGCCACCTGCAGCTGGCTTTGCGGAAAATCTGGCACCAGAGTGTGGGTAATTCATCTAGGGAATCACTGAGCTGTGAACTCGCTAAACTGTGTTTGTTGGAGACCCTGTGCTCGGCTGACATGGCGGTATGACAGGCAACTGAGCCAGATGGTACAAATAGTAGCTATGGGTCCAGGGTCTCCTGGCAGTGAAGTCTGCAGGTCTGGGATGACTGAACTCCTGTGGGCACTTTCCTAGCTGCAGAGAGGGGTGTGTGCTCAGTGTGTGGCTTGGCCTGCATTCCAGTGCCCACTCTGCTCTGTCCACCAAATGTTCTGAGGGACCTGGTTCTTCTGAGCACCCTGCCTGTCAGTATGAGGTCAGTCCTCTTTAGGAATGGAGGTTGCTGATGCGGGAAGGGGTTGATAGTGTGGTATAGAGGGTGCCAGCACTCTGGTTCCAGATGGATGTGGCTTTTAGTCTTGACAGTGTGGTATAGAGCATGCCCAAACTCTGGCTTTTAGTCTTGACTCCACTCCTGACCGGGGTTTGGGGGCAGACAGGTGATAACTCAGACATCCTAGCCCTCAGCTACCTCTGTTGCCAAATGGGGGTGTGTGCCTCGTGGAATGGCTTCAAGGGTCACACGGGCTAATAGAAAGAGAAGACACCTGGTACGCGCTTGTGGAACAACTTCCTGACGTCGGGCAAGCATGCACAGTGAATCTTCCATAGCCCGCCCTCATCATACACAAGCTGGATGGTGGCCCGGCCAGTGCTCTTTATATCCAGAAGGGGCTGTAGCTCTTAGACCTTAGGACCTATCTTTTAAATCCACCCTTTTCTACTCCTGGAATGCGCTTCCTTTTACTTCCCTCAGACCAGACTGTGCGAGTCCCAGCTGCTCGCCATTGTGGACGCTGGCCCTTCCACACAGAATTGTATTAGAGGTTTCCATTTCCTGAATCCCTGCCTGTTTCTAATTACTGTACCTACCCATAATTAGATGAATGTGAACTGAAAGAATGGGAGCCACCTGGCCTCGCTGGGTTGGCGTGGAAACTTTCAACCTCCTTAACAAATATTTTGGTGATGAACTTTTGACCATAGATGCATCTTTTCTCCATGAGCATCCTTTGCTCAAAGGCAGCATGTGTCCAGCAGAGAGGTGGCATTCAGGTCCTCCATCAGACTGAAGTTATTTCTCTGTGCCGCATCTGCAAAGCAAGAGGTTTAGACCCCACAGCCTCTGGGGCTCTTTCATTATTTTAGTGAACTTGAATGCTTGTAGGAAGAGTTTAAATTGACCAGATCTAGAGTTAGCTGCCAGGCAGAGTGGCAGGCTTTCAGTGCCCTTAGGTTTTGAAGGTTGTTTCTCTGTGGCCCTTCAGGAAGGAGAGTGTTGAGCAGTGACTGGCTGGATTGGTCGTTTGCATGAAAGGATATTTCCATTTCCAAGGTTTTCTGATTAGGGCTTTATCACATCTTTTAAAGTTGTCCTGAGTCTGGTTATCTGGAGAGCTTTTCAGCATTTGATGTTCAGGTTATACCTTGGAATAATTGCAAGGGAATTCTGGGGAGTAGAGGGTGAGGCATCAGTGCCCTGTAAAGATCACGCATGTGATCCAGTGTGAGGGCAATATGGATGATCAGCTACAGAACAGCATGTCCCAAATATCCCAGAGTGCAGGTATGGCCAGGAATCCTGGGAAGGTGCATGCTGACTCAGCTTGAATTGGCAATCAGTTCAATGACAGTCTCATCCCAAACAGTGACTTTTAACTTTTTAAACTTGGGTGTACTGATAAATATCATATACTAAATAAATCACAGAGGTGAGCATTCGGTAGCATTCTTCAAAACATGCATGCTTCAATGCTGCTTCTAAGAACTCCATCATCTAGCAAGTGGCTTCTCTAATGTCTTATAGTGCATGTGATTCATACAAATCTCAGGGTCGGGGAGGGGAGGCTGCTAGAAAGGTGAACAGTCGTCATGGCCACATCCATGGTGAGAGCACGTTTGCACATCAGCAGCTGCAGGTTGCGCATGCTCAACATACTCATCTGTTCTTGGTTTTACAACCTCAGACATTTCCCTATAGTCGGATCTCCAGACTAGTGTGCAAAATTAATCTAGATCTTCCCTGGACCTGGTCACAGACTGTAGTTTGCCCTTCCCAATTCCCATTTTTCTTATTGTTTAGAAAAATGAGTGCCTGCTTAAGTAGGGTCTTGGACTGACCCTCTCTGATTGGTAGAACTTGAATGGTACTTTTTGTTTCTTTCTTTCTGAAATCCCAAAAATATGAGCATATTCCATCCACCATTTTTTTTCTTTTTCTTTCTTTTTTTTGTTTCTCTGTGTAGTTTTGGTGCCTGTCCTGGAACTCACTTTGTAGACCAGGCTGGCCTTGAATTCACTGAGATCCACCTGTCTCTGCCTCCCGAGTGCTGGGATTAAAGGCCACCGCCGCCCAGCCCATCTATCATCTTATATTGACTGCATGATTAATGATCCCCTCTAGCCACTGATGGATCTTTTAAGTGCTACTGATATTAAAGGGGTCCAATAGATCCTATGGTTTTATATTGGTAAATTCTCAGAAGACAGTTTTTCATTTCAATGTAGGGGGGAAAACACATCTCAGAACTTTAGGCATCAAAAAGCCATGAGATCATTAGCCAACAGTGAAATTCTCTTCGACACCACAATGAGGTCCCACTTCATTCACACTGGCATAGTTCACAACAGAAAGATGGATAGTCCCCAGTGTTGAAGGTGGAGAGAAAATACAAACCCCACACATTTCTTGAAGGAATTCCAAAGGGTTCAGTGTTTTGGGAAACAGTCTTGTAGTTCCTCAAAAGGTTAAGTGATAGCAGGGCGCTGACATGAGAGCAGATGGACGGGATAGGAGAGTCTAGCATACTATGAACACATTTATAGTCAGTAGATCTAGTGGATATCAAGAACATGCTTGGAGAAAGGACCACTTCACCAACAAGTGGTACTGGGAAAACTGAGTCAAAGGCAAGCTGTGCACAGGCACACCAGGAAGCTAGGGTACTTTTGTCCATGGCTTTTCCCTGTCTCTGCATTTGGTGCGTACTGCTCCCTTATTCACAGTGGATATACCTCTGCTCAGATGCTCTGTGGGAACCTGATAGTCCATGAATTCAAAGATGATCTCATGGCCTCTCCCTTCCCTTAATCTTGCTTCCCCTTCTGTATGATTTTCCTAGAGTCTGGCATCCCTCAGACTCCTAAATCAGAAATCTTGCTCCCCACCATACCTCCATCCCTCTCTTCAGGATGAGTCATCACAATCTGTAGAGTTCATTGGGTTTGTCCTTTCCCTCCCTCAGTGCTGTAAGAAGGAGGATTTATCCCATGTGAATGCAACAACCCAGTCTTTCTGGCTTCCTCTGTCACCCAATCCTCTGGATAATGAAGGATATGGTTACCTTTCCTAGAATTTGACAATTAACCTAAAATTTTTCTTTCAGGATAAAGATAACTTCGCCCATACCCAGCAGGAAGCAATTTTAAGAATACGACGCCCACATTCCCAAAGAGGTGGTGTGGGGCGGGTGGTTTTTTGGTCTTTTTAATGGGTTTTGGGTCTGGGATAATTTTCATTGTTTAGGGGAGTTGGTTACAAGTTGTTGTCAAGGGTTAGGAAAAAGGCTAAGCAAAAGAGATTAGATTTAAGGTTCTTGTTTAAAAAAAAAAAAGAAAGAAGAAGAAAAAGACAATTACTAGTTTTAAATACTTTACATTGGATTGGATTGTTTTATATTGTATACAAATTATATATATTGAAATTGATATTGTTAGAAAATGCTATATGTATATCTCTAATTGTACTTATACCATTCATTTAACAATGCAATTTTCTGATCCTTGAATGTTATTATTACCAACTATTAGGATATAAAGAAATGAAAGTTAGTAGTTAGACATTCCAATAGAACTTGTAGTCATATTAGATATGTTTTAAAAATTGAGCAGATATATTTTAGACAGGTCATCTTCAAACCCTTCAGAGATCTACAGAATATGGCATTTAAAATGTTTTAATAACTTAGAAAATTTTTCTTTTTTGTTATGATTATGAGACATGTCGGCTCCTGGCAGTACCAATCTACTTCAGGGAAAATATGGGCATTGAAGAAACTGTGTATGGAGTTAACTTTCATTGTGGCAAAAGTTAGCCACTGGACAACAAAGTATCCTTGAATCAACTGCTGACAAAATGGACAGACAGGACATGAAACAAAGGACTACTGATTCTTGCCAAAACAAGTGTGGTTATGGCTTTATCAAAAGGCATCTTCTGAGGCCAGGACAATATGGCACCATCCCTGAAGTGGCCTTCGCAATTCGGAAAAGGTACAGTGCCCTTTTCTTCGAAGGCAGCTGAACAGGCAGTGGGCCGATGGCTTCTGATGTGCAATGGAACAGCAGCTGAAACAGTTATTCTTGAAGAGTAACTAAGCTCACGCCTTGCAATAGTAAACTGGCATTTGACAGAGGGATGTGGAGAAGAACGGGATGCTAAGATGAAGCCATATATACACAGCCAAGAAGAATGGACAGCTGAATTAAAAAATCAACAACAATTTCCAGAATTTAAAATCCTGAATCATGACATGACACTAGTGGAATTCAGGTGTTTCTGGTACATGGACTATTCTCACCCAATGTGAGGTTGAACTGTTGACCTTGTGTACATCCTACTTCACAAATGACTCTGTCAGATATGCTAAGCCTATAGGCTGAAGATGATGCCCCAATACTGTGGAGAAACCTCAGGTGACTGTCCAGGCAGCTGGCTGTTTCTGTCAACTCACAAATTTTTTGGAAGTTGCTTGCATGCACTTTCTGTTTTTATTTTTGTTAGCTAATATTATTTCCTTCTTGGGTCTCTGAGGGAGTTGAAGATTAGGTAGTTATAGTTGAAGGTTAGTTAGTTATAGTTGAAGATTAATTAGGATAGAAAGTGAATTAGATACATTTTGGACTTAACAAAATAGGATAGATAATGAAATTTTCTCTGAATTTGTCAAATACAAATGGACTAGACATTGTTTAGACATTTATTACTTGTATATATTGTATATAGTCATTGTACTTTTGTATATAGTTTTTCTTTTGTTAGTTATAACCTTTTTCTTTTTTTTCCTTTTTATTAAAATAGAAAAGGGGAAATGTGGTGGTATTTTACTTGTACTGAAATGTGATTTTAATTGTATGTTAATAAATAAAGTTGTCTGGGGGTCAGAGCTATTAGAGTCATAGCAAGTGCATGGCGGCGGTGGCGCACGCCTTTAAGGACCTGGAGGGCGGTACATTCAGGCAGTGACGAGGCAGTGACATGTTTGGGTTTACAACCAATGACAAGGCAGAACAGGAAGACTTTAAAGACAGACACACAGGAAGTAGGTCCTTTTCGGAGAGCTCTCTTGGCTGGAGAGGATCCCTGAATCAGGAAGGGTGAGGCTCTTAGCTCTGACCTCTTGGCTTTCTTCTCTGAATTGGCTCTGTGTTTCTTATTTTATAAGACCGTTGGTTACATCCCTACCACCAGATAATTCTATTTTTTCTTTTTTTGTGTGTATGTGCATGTGCTTGTATATGCATGCAGGTATGTGTGTGTGTGTGTATGTGTGTGTGTGTGTGTGTGTGTGTGTGTGTGTGTGTGTGTGATCAGAGGACAACCTTGGGTGTCATTCCTCAGGAGCTGTTCACCTCATTTTGTGGGACATGGTCTCTCACTGGGCGGCAGCTCACCCAGCAGGCGAGGCTGGCTGCCAGTGAGACCCGGCATCCCTGGTCTCCACCTCCCCAGGGCAGGTATTACAAACATGTGCCACCACACCTAGCATTTTCACAGTGGTTCTGGTGGTTGAGAATGTTGTAAAATCAAGCACTTTGCTGAATGAGCTGTCACCCCAGCACACCAGGTAATTCTAAAGCACTAAGTTGGTTCTATCCTCTCCAGCTCTGTGGACGTGTGCAGCCCATGGCTCCAGCCCTCATACAGAAGACTCATGGGAGGGCTTGGATGTTTACTGCCCGTCTTGTGCACACCACTCACTCTATTGAACTTGGCTCTAGGGTCAACTCCTGTCTGACACTTGCTGCTCTTTGTCCTGATTCCATACAAGATGAAGCTCATTATCTCCTCTTTGTAAATCTCTACTGCATCAAGGCCAAAAGCAGAGGGTTTTTTGTGTGGTCCATGGTGGCTACTGACCTCTCCAGACCCCCGTTTCTCTCTTTAAAATGTGGAAGTTATAGTGCCTGGTTCACAGGCTACACTCGGAATTAAACCACGTGGTTTGTGTAAACTACCTGGAACATGGGGACTATCAGCAGATGTGCACAGTGCTTTAAACCCACAGGAGATTCTGACCAAGTTTTCACATTAGGAAGGTCATGCTGTTGTGTGACCATATTTATGTTCATGCAATTACAGATGGACTAAGCAAGCCTGAGGAAGACAAGTCGATCTTACATTTTTACCCTTCAGTTCCTAGAACAGAGGTGGAGAAAGAGCAGACTTATAATTGGTCCACAGTTCACCATTGTGTCTCAGTGAATCTTCGAGACTGATGAAGCTGCTGTCCAAGGATGTTGTGATTGGGAGTGACTGGGGAGTGATCTGAGCCTCAGTGCAAAGGAGGCTGGAGGCCTGGGGTCCTGGGCACACCTACAAAGGAGGCTGGAGGCCTGGGGTCCTGGGCATACCTACAAAGGAGGCTGGAGGCCTGGGGTCCTGGGCACACCTACAAAGGAGGCTGGAAGCATGGGGTCCTGGGCACACCTACAAAGGAGGCTGGAGGCATGGGGTCCTGGGCACACTTACAAGGAGGCTGGAAACATGGGGTCCTGGGCACACCTAAGTTCTCAGTTCCTTGGTATGACGTGCTGGAAGGGGTCTTAATTTTATTTATTCATGCAAAAACATCTCAAATAATGGTATTATAAAATTTAAAAAGTCAAATCTTTTAAAAATTAAAACAGACATTCAAGAAATATGTATATTATAGAATACACAGGCTCTTGTTTTATTGAAAGTTCTTGTTTTAAGCCTCAGTGTGGTTGTGTACACCTATAACCCCAGCACTTAGGAGACTGAGGCAGGAGCATTGAAAGATTTAGGTGGCCTTGGACTGCAGAATAAGATCTTATCTCAAATAAAAGAGGGAGTGTCACCATTTAATTTGTTGTTGATTAGAGCACTTGGTGGCCTTAGCAGTGACTTTTCTAAAGTAACCGAGATTGGCCTGTTGGAAATGAGCCTCCTTTCAACAATATTAGCACTTGCTAGCATCACTTAGCTGTAAGTGAAATATAAACAGTGTGACCCTGCTGTGTCTTCATTTTCAATGGGCTGTAAATTTAACTAGAGGAAGACAAATACTTCCTTGTCCAGAAATGACAGCATCTTTCCTTTGTAAATGTCACTGCATCTGTCTGTGAGTTTGGAGAAATATGTGTTAAGAGCAAATGCAAGCCTTAAATGCAGTTTTCCTGACTTGTTTTTTAACTCATAATTTATCATAGAAATCCACAATGTTTTGCCCAGCACTCACCATCAATTGATTGACTGGTTAAAAACAATGAGCTATCTTTATGTAGTATTTGCTATTCTTTTTCTTTTATCAGGGGAAAAATTCTCTTATTTAGCTTGTGGTATCATTGTCCATCACCCTAGTGAGGAAGTGACTCCTCCTAAGTCTCGGGTGTAGCCACTTAAATGACACTTATTTCACTGGAGTGGTTTAGCTTATAAATGACTACAGAACACAGGATTAAGAAAGGGTTCCGCCGGGCGGTGGTGGCGCACGCCTTTAATCCCAGCACTCGGGAGGCAGAGCCAGGCGGATCTCTGTGAGTTCGAGGCCAGCCTGGGCTACCAAGTGAGTTCCAGGAAAAGGCTCAAAGCTACACAGAGAAACCCTGTCTCGAAAAAACCAAAAAAAAAAAAAAAAAAAAAAAAGAAAGGGTTCCTGCTGTTTGAATTTCATGAAGAATTAGAATTTTTAAAAATACCTCTGTTATCTAACTTTGCCCTGTTTTTCTTTGTCTTAGGTATCCACTGTTGCAGAATCATGGGATGCTAGCTCTGTGTAGAATTTTGATATCATTCTCAAACAGACACTTCTAGAAAGATTCAGGGTACTTTGGTCTTCTATGTGCAAAGTTGAAGACTCCCTTTGTCTGAATAAGCCCACTGCATTCTTAGCATTTTCTTTGTCTCTTTCCTACTTTCTTTATACAAGCAAGACCATAGAAAGGATTGCTCCTCACTCATTTGGTTTTGGCAGTGAGTTTTGACCAGGAGCTTCGGTCACGAATCCTACTGAGATGCCCTATTTCCCAAGTGTCTTTAATAAACTCTGCTCTGTTGTAGGTGGCGAACTGAAGCAAATGAGTTCTCTGATGATGTGTAAAGCCAAGCACCTGGAGCTAGTTTGGTTTTATTGAGTTATCCATGCTGTTTGGCATAATGAGTTGTGTTGAAATACTTATCACTTCTCTGCCTGCCTTTATTAGTTTGAAATATAGATCTTTTTTATTGGTGGTGGTGCTAGGAAAATGGTTTTAAATATGATTTGCAATTATCTTTCTGTCATGTTCATTTTGGTTTAATTGCCTATTCTATATCATAATGGGCTAAGTCAGCAGAAGACAATGTCCCTTTGCCTGAGAAAGCTAGGGTCCCTTCCATACCTTTATAAAGCATCCTTAATTCCAGAGAACATTGAATCTACTGCTTCAGAAACACATCCATCCCTATTCCCCTCAAAACTACATAACGACCCAGCAGTTTCCTGCACACCCAGATAGAATTTGACTCAACCCTCCCTTTGTTTCTATTTTGTCCTTGTTTGGCTGTGCTGTGCAATTTTGATTGCTGGTGCACCCCCATCTTTAAATGCATCCACTCTTCGCTGTCTGCAGATGTCCAAGCCCATAGGGGTTTGCATTCTCTAGAAAAACTGTATATGTAGTTTTGCAAAGACAAGAAATGGAATTGTGTCTATTTGCCATATCTAACTCATGGGCTAATGAGAATCTGTGTATAAATAAAGGTACCCAGCCAATCAAGCTCTTATTATGGAGTCATTCTTCATCCCCAGAAGGCTTCAGATTCATCTGTGTGACAATAAATTATAGATTTGAAATTTATTTTTAGATTTACTTACTTTACCTTGTGTGTATGACTGTTTGCTTGCATATATTTGTGTGCCCCGGGAGGTCAGAAGAAGGTGTCAGGTCCCCTAGGACTGGGGTTATAGATGGGATGGTTGTGAGCTACCACATGGGTGCTGGAAACAGAACTCGGGTCCTCTTCTAGAGTAACAAGTTCTCTTAATATTGAGGCATCTCTCCAGTTCTCTAAATTTCTTTAGAGGTTTGTATTGGCGTGGCCTTTGAGTTATTTTCAGGCAGTTTCTTGATTTTTTTTTTAAAAAATTGGTGCTTGGAGACATTTCCTTGAAATTTGTGGCAGAGGGGCTGAATATGTGTACTTAAAACTTTATCTCTTTATAGTTATTTATGTGTGTGCATTCGCATGACAGGGCACGTGTGTGGACATGAGGGTAACTATAGCATCTGCTTCCCTCCCTGACTTCAAACTCAAGTAGCCGAGTTTGGCATCAGGCAACATTACCCTTTGATCCACCTCACCAGCCCTGACATGTGTGTTTTTAACTTTCTTAGGGAGGTTTATACAGAATTGCAGTTTGGTGTTGTACTAGGGTTCCCACCACCCATATTATAGTCACCTGAGAAGAAGAATCCTTGGTTGAGGAATCACCTCCACCAGATTGGACTATGGACATCCATGGAGCATTTTTCTTGGTCAATGACTGTGGGAGGACTCAGCCCACTGTGGGCAATGCCACCCCTGAGCAGATTGTCCTGGGTTATAGAAGAAAGCAAACTGAGCAAGCCATGAAAAATCGAGCCAGTCAGCAGCAATCTTCCGTTGGTTTCTGTTTCTTCTCCTGCCTCGGCTTCCTTCAATCATAACAAACCATGACCTTTAAGGTAAAATAATCCCTTCTCTCCCTAAGTTCCCGTTGGTCACAGTGTTTATCACACCAGTAGAAAGTAGTAGGCTAGGTCATATATAAACTCCTTACCACCCACCTCCCAGTTGAAAGAAGGATTTAATGTTGCTACTATGATAATGCTTAATCCCTTCACCACTCACTAAAGTAGTGGTTCTCAATCTTCCTAATGCTGTGACCCTTTAATACGGTTCCTCAAGTTGTGGTGACATAAAATTATTTGTGTTGCTACATTATAACTGTAGTTTTGCTACTGTTATGAAACGTAATGTAAACATCTGTGTTTTCCAATTAATTAATTAATTAATTAATTAATTAATTAATTACTTTTTGTTGGGAAGGTTGAGACCCACAGGCTGAGAACTGCTGTACTACAACAAAGCCTTCTCCGATGCTCATTTTTTTTGTATGTACTGTGTTTCCTTAT